CAAAGATGTCAGTTTGAGGACTAAGGTGTGCCTGACCCAAGCCATGATATTTTCAGTAACAACATATGCATAAGAAAGTTGGACAGTGAATAAGGAAGATTGTAGAAGAATTGATGTTTTTGAGTTATGGTGTTGGAGGAGAATATTGAAAGTGCCATAGACTGCCAAAAGAACCAACAGATCTGTGTTGGAAGAAGTGCAGCCAGAGTGCTCCTTGGAGGCCAGGATGGCTAAACTTTGTCTCTCATACTTCGGACACATTGTCAGGAGGGACCAGACACTGGAAAAGGATATCATCATGTTTGATAAGGTGGAGGGTCAGAGAAAAGAGGAAGACCTCCAAAGAGATGGATTGGCAAAGTGGCAGCATCAGTGGGCTCAAGCGTGGCAACAATAGTGAGGTTGACCCGGGACCAGGCAGTGTTTCATTCTGTTGTACATAGGGTCGCTGTGAGTCGGTACCGACTCGATGACACCTAACAACAACAACAACAACAACAACGAGTCAACTGACTTGTCAGCACTTAATAGCAACAACAGTTATTTTAGAGTTGTCTGTTTCTTCTTCAATTTTATTAGAGTTTGATCATTGTAATTTGAAAATTTTTTGGGTATATAGATATTTATAATGGTAATGTCCTCTTTTCAGTTGACCCTTTAATCATGAGATAATGTCCCTTCTTTGTCTATTTTACTAGTTTTTGTCTTAAAATCTGCTTTATCATAATTAATATTGTCACTCATGCTCATTTTTGATTGTTAGCTTGATAAATTTTTTCCATTCTTTAATTTTTAATCTATTTTTGTGTTTGTGCCTAGCATTTGTCTCTTGTAGACAACATATTGAAAGATCTTGTTTTACTATCTACTCTGCTACTCCATGTTTCTTGAGTGTTGTATGTAATTAATTGATGTTCAGTGTAATTACTGATAGGTATGAATTGATGGTAGTCATTTTGCTGTGCGAATTTTTTGATGTTACTGCTGGTTTCCTTGGTCCACATGATTTTCTGTGCTGAGTTCATTTTGTTTGTGTGTTTTCTTCATTACTGCCATTTTAATGTTTACTAAATCTTCATGGTTTTCCTTTTTCTTGATTTGATGTGAAGGTGTATTAATTTTCTTTAAGATTACTGTGTAATTTCTTCCTCAGTTTAAAATGGTCTGTTTTATCTTGAAATCTACTTGACTTCCTCACCATTTGCAAATTCTGTAACTACACATCTCCCTTTTTTAGCTATGTAGTTATCTTCATTATAAATTAGTATCTTTGATACACTATTTTAAGTCTTGTAAGATTAATATCTCTGGTACCCTATTTTCAGTCTTGTGAGATAAGGTTTTCTGTTCCCACAAAGATGTAAAAAGCCTCAGAAACCCTATATAGGGTCACTAACATCAGAATCAACTCAACGGTACTTAATAACAGCAACAGTGAGGTTTGTTTTACTTTGTAGAGTTCTATATCTGGATTGAACTCCTGGTGTGGCACTGTAAGATCAGCACTGGACTGCAGACCAAAAGGTCAGAAGTTCAAAACCCACCAAATGCCCCTCAGAATCCCGACACAGGGTTGCTATGAGTTGGAACTAATTTGACAACACTTAACAACAACATATCTGGATTGAGTTCTGGGTGGTATCACTGTGTATGTCAATCTCAGGTTGTTGTCTGCTGTTGTTAGTTCTCAGTCCAAAGGACTTCCTTTAATATTTTTGTAAAGTTGACCTAGTTATTAAAATTCTTTTAATTTCTCTTGATCTGGAAATATTCTAATTTTGCCATCATGAACAGTTTTGCTGGGTATATGATCCTTGGTTGGCACCTTTTTTTTTTTTCAGTTTTTTGTATGTGTATTCCCTTTGTCTTCTCACCCACATGGTTTCTGCTCAGAATTCTAAATATTCTCTTGAATTCTTTTTCCTATTGGTTCTCCATTTCTAGGTAACTTTTCATTTTTCCTGAGCTTCTCTCAGGATTCTTTCTTTGATTTTGGAGAGTTTGATTATGATATGTCTTGGTGATTTTCTTTTGAGGTCTAGCCTGTGTGGGGTCATTCAGGTTAATGCTTATCGTGTAGTCTTTTTTGATGTTAGGGAAGTTTTCTTCCCATATCTCTTTGACTATCTTTTCTGTGTCTCTCCATGTTCTAGAATTCCAATCACCCGTAAGTTTTTCCTCTCTATGTTGTCCTACATGAATCTTACACTTTCTTCTAATGTTTTCATTCTTTTTTTCTCATTGTTCTTCTAGTTTACTAGTACTGAAAACTTTATCTTCAAGTTCACTAATTCGGGCTTCCATTGCTTCAAATCTACTGCTTTGTCCTTTCAGTGTATTGTCCATTCTGAAATCTGAGTATTAATCTCCTGCATTTCTATTTGCAGCTTTCATATTGCCTTCAATCCTTTACCTGTTTGGTTTGTTTCTTCCTGTAGTGTTTTCCCCTTTCTTGTTGTCCTCTACCTCTCTGTCCGTAGTTAGGAGGTACCTAATACCATTCTCTTGAATTCTTTTTCAAGTAGTTCCAGTGCCTTTTATTCTTCATATACATTTTTTGTCTCTACGTCCTGGTCACTCTCATATTTCGTGTGAACAGAAATTGTCTGCAGCTGTGGTGGTGTTGTATCTATATTAACTTGATGATTGTATGTTGGTGTATTCTTAGGCATTCACTAACTGTTTCCTACTGGGTGTGATTAAGGAATGGAAACTTGTATATCATTTCCTGTTCACTGTTCATTCAGTTCTATTTAGAGTTAATTTGACTGATATTTGTTGTTGTTTTTGATAACATTAATAGCAGCTTTTATTGGCTTTTCCCCAGTGGCTGAGAGGGTACAGTTGTGGCTGGACTTATGGGCATGGTTGTTGTCCCCTTTAGGGTGAGGCAAGAAGTGAAAACATACACATAAGAACAAAGAAAAGCAAACAGCAATGAACAAAGAAAATAATAAAGAAACAATAACAGCAACAAAGTATGCAACTGCTAGGACAAAAGGAAAGAGCAAGAGGAAAATAAAATTGAAAAAGAGCAAAATATGAGAGAAAGTAAAAAGAAAGAAATATAACTAAACACAATCTGTGAGAGGAGTAAAAGGGAAAGAGACCAGAGAGTAGTAAATAAAAGCAAAGAGAAAAAAATAAAGAAGCAGCAACCATTGACAAGGAGAAAACAGAAAGAAAAAAAAAAAAAGAAATGAAAGCAGAAAAGATAGAAAGCAGAGGAGAATAAAGAGAGGAAAAAGGGAAAGAAAAAATAAAAACAATTAAAGATGAAAACCAGAGCAGTGCAAGACTCAGCAACAAATTCTGGTGTCTGGTGTCAGCCAAGAACCTCACAAGGTGTGGGTCAGCAAGGGATGAAACAGTAACACCCTAGATAGAGTTCCAATAGGGCTCAGTGTTGTCTGTTTTGGGCACCCAATCTGGAAGTAGTGTGTGCTGACCCCAAAGCAGCTAGGAGATTAGGGTCTTTTCTTCTCAAAGGGCAGTGGAGGTTGAGAGATTCTGCTTGTTTGTGGCTGACCAGAACCAACTCTGTTGGTCTGGAGCAGGCCATATCTTATTCCAGATGCTGAGTTTGGTGCTGCTAGCTCCCCCCTCGCTTTGATGTACGTCCAACCACCTGGAGAATAGAAGATTTGATAGGAGTTTATGTGGGTGGTGACCAGCCCCATCTCTGGTCACCAGGGAGAGGTGGGGTTCAAGAAATTATTTCACACCTTTCACTTCACCAATAAACAATATGCCTCTGCACTACCTACTACTCTCTTGCCTTCAAAGCCACCTTTGAAAGTTCAGCATGGTCATGCTACAACTGGCTGGCTGGCATAGATCACCATTCTTCATCCTTCCTCCCCATCCTCCCATGTCTATTCAGCTGCCCCTCCTAGTTAGGACTAGTCCAGGGCTAGCCAGGGTCACGTCTGCAGGCTTGGAGCAGGGCCCACCCAAATCCAGGCACCATAGTTAATGCAGATAGGTCACCAGTCTCCCTTTTTTGCTGTGTCTTTTCAGCTTTCTCCCCTAGTAACCATTCAGTCCACTTCCCTGTCCCTTAATCTGAAATTGAGGGTTCCAGAATTACCATCTGCACCTGTTCCATTTGTCTGTCCATGTCTTTGTTGTAGAGGGCATGTACAGTGTATTGGCCTAGTCCACCATCTTGTCACCTCTGTCAAACACTCCTTGTTCTCTTTATTTGAAATTTAAAATTTACCCTCTTCTCACAGACTAAATATAAAATTATTCTTTTATATATTTAAGATATAATGTTTTTATTGTTAAGTGCTGTCAAGTCAGTACCGACTCATAGCAACCATGTATAGGATTTCTGAGGAGTGGCTGGTGGGTTTGAACCACCAACTTTGCAGTTAGTAGGCCACTGCTTATCCTACAGCACCACACCAGGTTTCCTAGATATACTATAACTAGATATAATATGTTGTTGTTGCTGCTGCTGTTAAAGTGCCATCAAGTCAGTTGTGACCCTATATAGGGTTTCTGAGGAGCAGCTGTTGAGCTTATAATATAGAATAGTTATAAAAGAATCAGGAACTCATTTTTATTCAGTGAGTACATCATGTGTATTTACATATAATAGACTAGATATATGGGATGTGCTGATGAAAAAAGTTACTGTAGTTTATTTGCCTTTGTCACTCATTTTATAAATTCTGTTTGATTAGAGCAATATTGTTATAATCAAACAAGAAATAATGTGCTAATAGCATATGCCATTTTCCTTTTTTTAAGTTACTGTTTTTATTTCTTTACCTGTGAGGTTTTTTATTTTTATTCATTAATTCACTTAGATGTAGATTTTTTAACATTAATGTAAATGTTAAAAGTAATATATGACCTAAATTAGGAACGATTTCTCTTGTCCAAGTTTTAGAATAAAGTTTTACTTGGTTCAAATTATTGTAAAGTATGTAATTTTGGTCTCACATTTCCTTCCAAAGCATAAATTCATAAATTTTCTATTTTGTTTTCAGAGAATCCTTGATCCGAACTGCATTCCAATGTCTTCAGTTGGTTGTTACAGACTTTCTACCAACAATGCCTTGCACTTGCTTGCAGATAGTTGTAGATGTTGCAGGTAGCTTTGGACTTCATAACCAAGAGCTTAATATTAGTTTAACTTCAATTGGTTTATTGGTAAGTACTCTTGCCTTTCTGATGATAGAATAATTTAGAAATCACTGCTACATAGTTGGGAATGAATGATAAGCAAATGTTCTTTAGACTCTGTGGATATTGTTTAAATGACTTAAATAAATATCAAACACATCAGGAGTCCTGGTGTGGCGCTGTGGGTTAATACGCCAGACTGCACAACCATTTGAACTGCAAGGTTGGCAGGTCAAGCTCACCAGCTGCTCCTTGGAAACCCTCCCTATACAGCGTCGCTATGGGTTGGAACCGACTCGACAGCACTTTACAACAACAACAACAAAAATAAATCTTTCATGAAGGATTAAAAGATATTGTTTAAGAAATACATCATTGTTATCAGAATATTTGGAATAATTTTCCTGTATTGAACATGAAGTTTGGCTTTTGCAGTGTTTATCATGAGAAGACTTAATAGATAATAGATAATAGCATATACAAAAGAAATATTTAGATCAGAAAAGAGTGATGGAAATCAAAGCTACCTGATAACAAATAGTCTAAAGGACTAATGGACCACATTGATCCCAGCCTCCACTACTATGAGACAGAAGAACAAGATAGTGCCCAGCTACTACTGCCAACGAATCTTCAAGGGATCACAATAGGAGGTGCTGGATCAAGCAGGAAAAAAATGTAGAAGAAAACTCAAAACAATAAAAAAGACCAGGCTTACTGGTCTGCTAGAGACTGAAAGAACATCCAACTATGGCCATTAGATACCCTTTATGCTTGGAATGGAAATCTCCCCTGTGGTTCAACTTTCAACCAAATAATAGACAGGCTTGTAGTATGAACAGTAACACCAAGAAGGTCTACACTTCTTAGAACAATCAACCATTTGTGATCAAAAGGGCAATATTTGCCCAGGAAAAAGTAAAACTCAGAAGGCAGGAAGGGATAAGAAAAAAGACGAATGGAAATGGTAAACGCAGGGAGGAAGTGAAAAGAATATTGTTACATTGTGGGGCTTACAGTCAGCATCATAAAACAAAATGTGTGCAAAATGTTGAATGAGAAAGCAATTTGCTCTATATACTTTTATCCAAATCACAAAAAGTTAAAAATAAGAAAAATATTCAGTTGACTAATGTGAAGCTTAATTGATTTTCAATATTACTTTATTAGCAACATCTCCTTACCTTCCTTATTTAGTAAATGAGGCTTCAGTGTAAGTCTTGACTGTTTACAAAGTCTTGTAGTCTGTTGAAAGAGCTCTTGTGGTACTGTGCTGTAGGGTCAGACTTGACCAGCTGCTCCATGGGAGAAAGATGAGGATTTCTGCTTCCTGAAAACCCTGTACAGGCTCACTGTGAATTAGAATCAGCTCAAAGACATTTTTGGGGTCCTATTATTGGTTTTGGTAGTCTGTTGACTGTTTTAATAGCTATTAAGAGACAGCATATGATAGTGGGAGAGTATATGCTCTGGAATCCTGTATACCTGTATTTTAATGCTGTCTGCCCCTGTTAACGGTTAAATTATTAACTTCATTAGACTCATCTTGAATATCTTGTTGTTAGGTGCCATCGAGTCAGTACCAACTCATACTGACCCTATGCACAACAGAACAAAACACTGCCCAGTCCTGCACCATTCTCACAGTTGTTATTATGTTTGAATGCATTGTTGCTTACCACTGTGTTAGTCTGTCTCATTTTGGGTCTTCCTCTTTTTCACTGACCACTCAACTTTACCATGAATGTTGTCCTTTTCCACGGACTGGTCCCTCCTGATAACATGCCCAAAGTAGAAGAAACAAAGTTTTGCCATGCCCACTTTAAAGGCTTCTGGATATACTTCTAAGACAGATTTGTTTGTTCTTATGACCATCCATACTACTTTTAATTTTCTTCTACACTATAATTCTTCTATTTGTTGTTGTTATGTGCCATCGAGTCGGTTCCGACCCATAGCGACCCTGTATAGGGTTTCCGAGGGTGTAAATCTTTACGGGAGTAGAAAGCCTCATCTTTCTCCCGCGGAGCGGCTGGTAGTTTCCAACCGCTGACCTTAAGGTTCGCAGCCCGATTCGTATTTATTGCTCAACTTTCATATGCTTATGAGGCGATTGAAAATACCATAGCTAGGGTCAGGCACACCTTAGTCCTCAAACTGACATCATTGCCCCTGTGCATCAGATTTGATTATGTAATAAGTCAATTGATTTCTTAACTGTTGCTTTCATGAATGTTGATTGTGGATCCAAGCTAAATGAATTCTTTGACAACTTCAGTATTTCCTCTGTTTATCATGAAGCTATTTAATGGTCCAGTTTTATTTTTGTTTTCTTAACATTTTGAGGTATAATATAAACAGAAGGCTGTATTTTTTTTATTTTCATCAGTGAGTATTTTCAGTTTTTCTGTCTTCCGGCCAGCAAGGTTGTATCATTTACATATCATAGGTTATTAATAATTCTTCCTCCAATCTTGATGCTACGTTCTTCTTCATATAATTCATTTTCTTGGATTATTTGTTCAGTATACAGAATGAATAAGTATGATGAAAGCATACAACCCTGGTGCACACCTTTCCTGAGTTTAACCATTCAGTAGTCTCTTATTCTACTCTAATGACTGCCTTATGGTCTCTCTCTAGATTCCTCATGAGCACAATTAAGTATTCTGGAATACCCATTCTTCACAATGTTATCTATAGTTTGTTATGGTCCAGACAGTTGAAAGTTGTTTCATAATCAACAAAACACAAATAAACATCTTTCTGGTATTCTCTGCTTTCAGCCAGGATCCATAAAATGTTAGCAACTATATCAACCATTTCTTCTGAATCCAGCTGTAGTTTGTGGCAGCTCCCTCTTGTTGTACTGCTGTAACCATACTTGAATTATAATCAACAAAATTTTACTTGAATGTTATATTAATAATATTGCTTGGTTTCTGTATTCCGTTGGGTCACCTTTCATTGAAATGGGCAGATAGGGTCTCTTCTAATCAGTTGGCCAGGTAGCAGTTTTCCAAACTTCTTGGCATAGATGAGTGAGCACCATCAGTACTTTATCAGTTTGTTGAAACATTTCAGTTTGTATCTTGTCAATTCCTGAAGCCTTCTTTTTCACTATTGTCTTCAGTGCACTTGAACTTTTCCTTTAACACCATTGGTTCCTGATCATCATATACCACCTCATGAAATGATTAAACATTTATCAGTTCTTTTTGGTACAATGACTTGTATATTTTCCATCTTCTTTTGATTTTTTCTGTTTCATTCAATATTTTGTCCATGTTGTTGTTGTTGTTAGATGCCATCGAGTTGGTACCGACTCATAGTGACCCTATGCACAGCAGAACGAAACACTGCCCGGTCCTGGGCCAACCTCACAGTTTGTATGTTTGAGCCCATTGATGCTGCCACTTTGCCAACCCTTCTCACTGGGAGTCTTCCTCTTTTTCTCTGACCCTCCACCCTACAAAACATGATATCCTTCTCCAGAGGATGCTCCCTCCTGACAATATGTCCTAAGTAAGAGAGACGAAGTTTGGCCATCTTGGCCTCCAAGGAGCACTCTGGATGCACTTATTGTAACACAGATCTGTTGTTTCTATGGGCAGCCCATGGCACGTTCAGTATTCTTCTCCAACACCGTAACTCAAAAGCATCAATTCTTTTATGGTCTTCCTTATTCACTGTCTAGCTTTTGCATGCTTGTGAGGTTATTGAAAATACCATGGCTTGGGTCAGGTGCACTTTAGTCCTCAAGTTGATATCTTTGTTCTTCAGCACTTTCAAAAGTTCTTGTGCAGCATATTTGCCTAATGCAATACATCGTCTGATTTCTGGACTGCTGCTTCGATGAGTGTTGATAGTTGATCCAAGAAGAATGAAGTTCTTGACAACTTTAATCGTTTCTCTGTTGATAGGGATCCTTCAATATTGCAAGTTGTTTCTTTAGTTTGTTTAGCTTGAGGAATGCTGAGCGTGTTCTCCCCTTTTGGCTTTCTAGCTGTCTTTGCATGTTTCCTTGTAATATTCGACATTGTCTTCTTGAGCTGCTCTTTGAAATTTTGTGTTCAGCTCTTTTACTTCTTCATTTTGTCCAGTTGCTTTAGTTTTTCTATGCTCAAGAACAAATTTCAGAGCGTCTTCTGACATCCATTTTTGTATTTTCTTTCCTATCTCTTAAAATTACCTTTTGCTTTCTTCCTGTATGGTATCCTTGATGTCACCATATTATTATTCCTTTCTTTCCATATGTTTTTAATATTTTTCATAATAGAAAATTAAAAAAATAATGTTAAAACTAGATCATTCCAAAAAATTCTGCTTAAATGAGGCACAAATACTGATTGATTCAGGGAAAAGATTATCTTAGGAAAAAGATTTCTTAAGTAACTTAAGTTTTATTTTGAAAAGTAAAATGGATTTCTGTTGCAAGCTTAATTATGTGTTTAAAATAAAGTATATTGATAAAGTATTCTTTTTCTACTTTACTTTTTAGTGGAATATTTCAGATTATTTTTTCCAAAGAGGGGAAACTATTGAAAAAGAGTTAAATAAGGAAGAAGCAGCACAGCAAAAGCAGGCAGAAGAGAAAGGAGTGGTCTTAAATCGGCCATTCCATCCTGCACCACCGTTTGATTGCTTGTGGTTATGTCTTTATGCCAAATTGGGTGAACTATGTGTGGACCCCCGACCTGCTGTTAGGAAGAGTGCTGGGCAGACTCTGTTTTCTACAATTGGTGCACATGGAACTCTCTTACAACATTCAACGTGGCACACTGTTATTTGGAAGGTATTGTAAAATAGCTTCACTTATCAGTTATCACCTTTTCTTTTTGTTTTTAAGAAGCTTGGTGTCACAGTGGGTTAAATGCTGGGCTGCTAACTGCAAGGTTGGTGATTCAAACTTCCCAGCTGCTTTGTGGGAGAAAGATGAGGCTGCCCGATTCTATAAAGATTGATAGTCTTGGAAGCCCTAAGGAACACTTCTCCTCTGTCCTGTAGTGTTACTATGAGTCATAATCGACTCATTGGCAGTGTGTATGTATTTTTCCAGGAGTTTTGTTTTGGCTTTTTTAAGTAAACACTCCAATTCACTATTTTGCAAAATAGAAAATGTTAACTTATTCATATTTTAAATTGTTCCTTGTAGAGATGAAATATTAAAAGCCTCATCTTTTAATTTCTTACTGTCATTGCTATCATTGTCTCTAATTTCTGCCTCTGTGCTTTCATTTTTATGTTTTCCCAAACAGTAAAACCAGGGATTGTTAAACCCCAGAGGTAATCAGTTGTTTACAGTAGGGTAGAAAGTCTTTTTTTTTTTTTTTTTTTCTCCTTTGAGGTCTACTTTTACACATGTAACTCAGATATTAGATAATTATATAAATAATACCATTTATAATGAAATTTACTTGCAGATTCACCAATCAGAAGTAACTTCCATGTGGTAAATCATGCATGCTCACTCATTAAATCCACCACTCATCTGTCATTCTGACGCCCTGTAGTGGCTTGCTTGGTGCTGTGATGTTGGGAGCTATGTTACTGGTATTTCAAATCAGGTGGACAGGTTTTAGGAGAGCGTCCAGAGTAATACAAACTAGGAAGAAAGGCTTGGCAATCTATCTCCAAGTATTAGTAAAAATCTAATGAACCTAACAAAATATTGTCCTATATAGTGCTAGAAGATGAGTCCCTTAAGTTGGAAGGCACACTACAGTGGACTCAAACATACCAAAGATCATTAAGACAGTGCTAGATGGGACACTTCACTCCATTATAAGTTCACTGTGAGTCAGAGCCAACTTGATGACATTTAATAACTACAGTGCATTACATATTTTGTTAGGAGCCGTCGAGTCAGTACTAACTCATAGTGAACCTATAGAACGAAACACTGCACGGTCCTGGACCAACCTCAAAACTGTTGCCTGAATAGTTTAAAATTAAGAAGGGTATGCAACAGGGTTGTATTCTTTCAGCATACTTATTCAACATGTATGCTGAGCAAATCATCCGAGAAGCTGGGTTAAATGAAGAAAAATGTGGCATCACAACTCATTATATATACAATTTCATTTTTCCATTTCTTCCCTTTTTGAAAAACTTTTTAAAAGTCCACAGCTTATTAGCAAGCATGCCCTCATGCTAAAAGGCTTTAATTTCTTGTTGGCTATATGTCATTTTAATAAGAATTTACTTAAAATCTTTTCCTTCTTTGAATTTTGTAGGTCATTAAGATTGACAATAGACAGTGTAGTAAACTTTATTTGTATTTAGCAATGCTTGTTTAATACAATTGTACCAAATAAAATAAAAATATCCCACATTGCCATCTTAAAAAATAACAATGTAATGTTTCCTAATAAAAATAATTTAAAATATTGTTCCCTTTTGTGCTTTCTAGTTCAGTTCCATTCCCTGACTCTTCCTTAGTTCACAAACATGCTTAATTTTCAATAAGTCTTTTTCTTCTTTACCTTCCTTTATTTGTTGCTATTTTTTCCAGATTATTCACTTCAGAGGCTCTTAAATATAATGGGGCTTCAAGAAATTCATGGAAAAATGGAATGAAAAGATAATGGATTTTCCATGACCCTCCTGAAGCCCCATGTATTAGCATATAACAGAATCACCTAGAGGACTTATTAAAACACAGGGTAAGAATAAAGTGGGGGAGATTACTGCTCTCAAACACAGATTGCTGCTTCCAAGTCTCCTCCCCTACTTTATTCTTGTCCTGTAAATTGCCTCATAGATGTTACCAGTAACACCTAACTCAACAAGTCTTATACACTATTCTATGCTGTTTGTTTTAACTTTTCACAGAAAGGATAAATTTTAAGGTATAAAAGTACTTCTGTTGGTCACTTTCCTCTTATATATGGGAATTGACCAGACTGTCGGGTATATTTTTTATAACGATTCCTAGTTTATTTTATCATTACTTAAACTTTGTATCAATAATTTCTATCTGACATTTTTATAAATATTCAGGTTCTCTTTCATCTTCTGGACCGAGTTCGAGAGTCGTCTACCACTGCAGACAAAGAAAAGATTGAGTCAGGTGGTGGAAATATTCTTATTCATCACTCAAGGGATACAGCAGAGAAGCAGTGGGCCGAGACATGGGTGTTAACATTGGCTGGCGTTGCCCGAATCTTCAACACTAGAAGATATTTACTGCAACCTTTAGGTATCTATAAATATCTATATCTATCTATTTATATGTGTTTGCAGGGGGATTATTTTAGTACTTCAAGGAGCCCTGGTGCTGCAGTGGTTAAGTGGTTAAGTGCTCAGTTCCTAATTGAAAGGTTGGTGCTTCAAACGCACCAGCTCCTCTGCTGGAGAAAGATGTGGCAGTCTGCATCCATAGAGATTAGAGCACTGGAAACCTATGAGGCGGTGCTGTTCTGACCTGTAGGGTCCACTATGAGTTGGAATCAATTTGATGGCAATGGATTTGTACAAGTAATTCATACTAAAGGAAATTTGGGAAGCACATACAATTCTTCTAAATTTTATATACAATGGTATCACCCAAGAACCACAAATTCTAACTTTCAAATGTGCATTTTTGTTCAGAAAATGTATTTACTAACTGTGGTCTGAAGGATCCCTGATAGCATAGTGGGTTATGTGTTGGGCTGCTAACCACAAGGTTAGCAGTTAGAATCCACCAGTGGCTCCACAGGAGACAGATGAGGCTTTCTGCTCCTATAAAGACTTACGGCCTTGGAAACATTTTACAGGGTTGCTATGAGTTGGAACTGACTCGACAGCACACCACCACCACTGTGGTCTGGACTCTAGGGGGTACAATGATGGACAGACTATACTTGTCCATACTGTCACATGCATGACAAAGGTTCCACTTCCTACGTGTGTGAATTTGTGACAAACAAAACATTTTTAAACATGTCTAAACTTGATGGCACTTAACAACAATCAGTCACTGGATATGGAGCCTTGATAGTGTAGTGGTTACACATTGGGCTACTAACTAAAAGGTCAGCAGTTCGAATCTACCTGCCACTCCACTGGAGAAAGATGAGACTTTCTGCTCCTGTAAAGATTTACAGCCTCAGAAACTCTATACAGGGCTACTATGAGTCAGAACTGACTCTACGGCACACTTGCAATCAGTGGATGGCTGCAGAGACAAGTTTTCTCTGTAATACTCTTTACTTAGTCTCATTTTGTTGTTAAGTTTTGTTGAGTCAATTCTGACTCATAGCAACTATATAGCGTTTCTAAGGAGCGAGTGGTGAGTTTGACATTATAATTGTCAATCCAGTGCTTAGCCTACAGTGTCACACCAGGACTCCTCAGTCTCCTTGTTGTTACTGTTATATGCCGTGGAGTCGGTTCTGATGTATAGTGACCCTGTACAGGGTTTCCAAGGCTGTAAATTTTTACGGGAGCAGAAAGCCTCATCTTTCTCCCACGGAACAGCTGGTAGTTTCCAACTGCTGACCCTGAGGTTCGCAGCCCGATTCATAACCACTACGTTACCAGAGCTCCTTTCAGTCTCCTTAGATGCCTTAGGATGCCTAAAAAAAGGTTCAATCAAAAAAGTAGCTTCCTAGGGGAAGTTCATTTCAAGGCAGAGAGGTTACTCAGAAGGTTGTTGTTGTTGCTAAGTGCTGTCGAGTCGATTGCCACCCATAGTGCCCCTGTACAGGGTTTCTGAGGCTGTAAATCTTTATGGGAGCAGAACTGCTGACCTTGAGGTTCACAGCCCAATTCACAACTACTATGCTACCAGAGCTCCTTCAGAAGGTTATTAGCCACTGTGTTTTGGAATTCCAAAGGGGTAATCTTGATAGATTTTCTCAAAAGACCCAGGGACTTACTAGGAAGAAATTTTCAGAAAATTGATAATTGCATTGGTGAGCAAAAGGTCAAGAAAGTTGCGCCAAGGATTTCTTTTTCCAACTCAACATTGTACCTCACTTTTTTGAAGGTAGCAAGGGATGTCCTAAAAGAATTTTGTTGGAAAGCCTTATCCCATCCACCCTACTGCCTCTTCAGATTTTGTTTCCCAAGCTCAAAGAACGTTGAAAATGAACACAATTTGAGTCCTTTGAGGATGACCAAACTGCCATTTTGATTTGGTTGGGGGAGGGTTAGAGAGAATTCTGAAGGTCACACCACCTAGATGGAAGATAGAAGCAATTGGTTTACATTTTGATATTTTTAGTAAAGGTTTATGAATTTGTAGCAATACTTTCTGACTTATTCATGTATGAAGGGGCTTTCAAAAAGTTTACAGGAAAATTCCATTATCTTTTCATTCCACTTTTCCACAAACCTTTTGTAGCCCCCTTGTGTATAAAATTGCAAAAATGATGAACGCTGCAAAAGAGTGATAAATTGTGAGCTTATAGCATCCTGGTATGGTGGTGTTGAATAAAAACTGGACTGCAAAGTCAGTTTGAACTACAAGGTCAGTGGTTCAAACCCAACACTGCTCCTCAGAAACTCTGTATAAAGTCGAAACCAACTTGATGGCACTTAACAACAACAACAACAACATATATATGTTTGCTTTAGATAGGTTCATACAGGGTTTAGAAAATTTTATTTGGTTATAACCCAAAATCTGAAGTGTAACAAGGAAATCGCCAGGCAAAGGTAAAATGAAGTGGAGTGAGCATGTTAGAATGGGTAAAAAGGAATAGAAGATTCAGGGTACCGTGTGGCAGGAGAGAGTGGATGGTGAGGAATCTAGTATGTTTGAATGTCTTAAGAGATTAAGGGAGTACATGAATACAGGTGGGGTTGGAGAGATGGTGAAAGACCAGACCAGGCAAAACTTTGTAGCTCATGTTACAAAGTTAGGACTTTGACCGAAGGCAATGAAAAACTACTCATGCCATAATCAGATATGTACATCAGCAGGTCACTCTGTCTGGGGTGTGTAGAATGGAATGGTAGCAAGGAAGAATGGTTGGATTTTCTCATATATTTAGAATAGGTGGCAGGATATTGTTAGGAAGTTGTTGCTCTTGTAGGTCAGAGGTTCTCAATTAGGGGTGATTTTAAACTTTGTAAACTTTCACCCAAATCGCAATAAAACGTTTTTTAAAAATGATACCTATCTATTAAAACTTAGTGAATTTACAATTAAGAATTCACCCACCCCCAGGAACATTTGACAACGTCTGGAGACATTTTGGGTTGTCACAACTGGGAGAGGCTATACTAGTATCTTATGGGTAGAGACCAGGGATGCTTCTGTACATCTATGATGCACACAAGAGCTCGACAACAAAGAATTATCCAACCCAAAATGTCAGTAGTGCTGTGGATGAAACATCCTGTTGCAGATTATGCTGTTTTTAAGTGTTGTCAAGTTGGTTCCAATTCATAGCGAGCCTGTATAGGGTTTCCAAGAAGTGGGCTGTTGGGTTTTAACCACGACCTTGTGCTTTGCAGTCCAGGGCTTATTGGATTATAATAGATTATAATAGCTTCAATTTTTGCAGTAGTAAGTTGAATCGTAGAGAGAAGTAAACAGAGATACTGTTGTACATAGATATGGAAGGGCTATGTGTATTTTTATTCTATGTTTGACTCTTTTTAACCTTCTCATGGAATCCTAGTGTGGCGTTGTAGGATAAGCACTGGACTTCAGTTCAAACTCACCAGCCCACTCTTTGGAAACCCTATACAGGGTTGCTATCTATGAATTGGAACTGACTTGAAGGCACTTAACATGTTAAAGAATAAGCATATTTACTTTCTTTCTAGACATTTGAGTGTATTCTTAACACTTTCTTCACTTCTCTTTTTTAATTCAATAACAGGGATTGATGGTGTCTGATTTCCTTGTGTACTTTAGAGCTTGTTGGGTATTTGAAAATTTTTGTCTAATGTTTCTCTGAGTACAATTTACATACAATAAAATTCATAATTGTAAATTTACTAATTTTTAACAGGTAGGCATCATTTTTTAAACTTGTTCTTGTGATTTGGGTGAGAGTTTACAAAGCAAATTAGTTTTCTAGCTAGCAGTTACTACACATTTTTTTCGAGACGTTGGTTGCAATTCGCACAGTGTAACAGCAAGCACTCTTCCCACTTCCTCCATGTGTTCCCCATTTTCATTTGTCGTTCTTTCCTGTCCCGGTCTGTGAGCTCTGTTTTTTTGCAGATACTGTCCCCTTTGGTCTGTCCCTTTGGTCTGTTATGTTGATCTGAGGAGTATGAGGGACTTCAGAAAGTTCATGGAAGAATTCCATTTTTCCCCAAACTTTTTGAAGCCCCCACTATGTTCCTCACTGGTGTTATTGTTCATTTCATAGACCTGTCTAGTGTTTTGCTACAAGTTGACCCCCCAGCGGTGTGTTCAGTTCCAGGCTTGCAGGGTGTCTAAGGGCCACAGTTACAGGGATTCCACTAGTCTCCATCAAACCAGTAAGCCCAGTCATTTTGTGATTTTGAATTTTTTTCTAAATTGTTTTCCTCCCTACATAGCAACTCCAGACCACACTGCAGCAGCACTGTCCACCTCAACTGGGCTCAATAATCTATTGCAGTGGTCACACAGAACTCAGCCACCATACTCACAGTTATAGTGTTTATTAGGGAAGTTATTGTTAGGTACCATCGAGTTGGAACTGACTCATAGCAGCCCTGTGCATAAAAGAACACTATACCCAGTCCTATACCAATTTCACAATCGTGGCTACACCTGAGCCCATTGCTGCTGCCACTGTGCCAATCCATCTCATTAGGGGTTTTGCTCTTTTTTTCCAACCCTCCACTCTACCAAACATGATATCCTTCTCCAGGGCCTGGTCCCTCCTGGTAATATGTCTGAAGTATGAGAGGGACGTTAGCAGGTAAAAATTCAGGGCTAGAAATGCTAATGGCACAGTTGTTCCAGTCAGGACAGTCTCGTTAGCCATGCCTACAGGCAGGCATCTCTCTGCCCTGCCAATGTTACAAATGCCCACTGGACACCCCATTCTACTGTAAGCCTCAGCCTGAAGACACTCAGCTCTAGCTCCATGGGTCAGCAAACCTAGACACTCCTCCCAATTAAGTGCCTAGAGGTATCCCACTCAAGCAAGCTTGCTGTCCACAGTCACTCAGCTGTACTTGCTTCGTTGTCTGGGAAGCTCAGCGCTCTGGTGCTCTGACTCTTGGTTCTGCTGCTGCTGCTACTCCTCTTTGCTCCTCTGA